CGGTTAAAATTTAGGGGATGAAATGGAGCAAATACTTAATTTCTGTCGGTTTTTCTGGTCGCTCCAAAGGCCGCAATTATGGCCCAAACATCTCGGGTCAAATGGACCCTGACTTTTGTGTGAAAAATTACAAAATTTGTGTTCTATAGCATATATATTTACTCCTGAAGGACATAGAGCCGAGAAGTTGACAAGAGGAGTGGTTGCCCTTTAAATTGATACCAAGTATATTGCCGTATGTACTCGGATGTGGGAGTTACACGTAAATATTTACAGGTGCTTACGTATTCAGATATTATTTAGTAACCCATTACCACACTAGAGGGCGGAAATATAGCGCTGATCGCTTTTAAATTTTCCATGAGGATCCAGTTATGGTCAAGGACAACGCCTATAATTTTCGGTGATGATCAGATAATAATTTTGGGATGAAGTGGACCGACAATTTATTTTTTTGTGTGTGTTTATACCCTTCACCACTCTGTGGTACAGGGTATTATGTCTTTGTGCATATGTTTGTAACAGGCAAAAGGAAACGAGATAGACACATGGTTCCTTTTGAGAATATGCATAGAATCACTTTCTGAGTCGATTTATGCATGTCCGTCCGTCTGTCTGTCGATGTAAAATTGTAAACAAAGTACAGGTCGCATTTATAATCCGAATTGGATGAAATTTAGCATAGGTCACTTACTTGACCCAAGGACGAACCCTATTGAAATTGGGAAAAATCGGTTCAGATTTAGATATAGCTCCCATATATATATTTAACCGATTTAATGTAAACGGTCCCTATATATCTTTTGATTTGCACGAAATTTGGTACAGCCTAATCATTTAGGTCTAGAATGATGTCTGCCAAGTTTCGTAAAAATCGGTTCAGATTTAGATATAGCTCCCCTATATATATTTAACTGATTTAATGTAAACGGTCCCTATATATCTTTCGATTTGCACGAAATTTGGTACAGCCTAACCGTTTAGGTCTAGAATGACGTCTGCCAAGTTTGGTAAAAATCGGTCCAGATTTAGATATAGCTCCCATATATAGTTTCGTCCGATTTCATGTAAATGGTGCCCCAAAGTCCCTATATATCTTTTGATTTGCACGAAATTTGGCATAACATACTGAATTGAGCCTAGAATGATGTCTGCCCAGTTTCGAGAAAATCGGTCCAGATTAAGATATAGCTCCCATATACAGTTTCGTCCGATTTCATGTAAATGGTGCCCCAAAGTCCCTATATATCTTTCGATTTGCACGAAATTTGGTACAGCCTAATCATTTACGTCTAGAATGATGTCTGCCAAATTTCGAGAAAATCGGTTCAGATTTAGACATAGCTCCCATATATATTTTCGTCCGATTTAATGAAAATTGGGCAACAAAGTCTCTCTACATCCTTCGATTTGCATGAAATTTGACATAGAGTACTGAATTAGGTGCTGAACGATGTGTGCCAAGTTTTGAGAAACTCGGTTCAGATTTAGATAGAGCTCCCATATATAGTTTCGTCCGATTTAAGGTAAATGGGGCTCCAAAGTCCCTCTTTATCTTTCGATTTGATTGAAATTTGGCACAGAGTACTGAATTAGGTCCAGAACGATGTGTGCCAAGTTTCGAGAAAATCGGTTCAGATTTAGATATAGCTCCCATATATAGGTTCGTCCGATTTAAGGTAAATGGAGCACCAAAGTCCCTATATATGATTCGATTTGCTCGAAATTCGGCATATAGTACTGAATTAGGTCCAGAATGATGTGTGCCAAGTTTCGTGAAAATCGGTTCAGATTTTGATATAGCTCCCATATATATTTTCCTCCGATTTTAGGTAAATATTGCACCAAAGCCCCTATATATCCATCGATTTGCACGAAATTTGGCATAGCGTACTGAATTAAGTCTAGAACGATGCGTGTTTAATTTCGTGAAAATCGGTTCAGATTTAGATATAGCTCCAACATATATTTTCGTCCGACTTAATTAAATGGTATACCAAAGTCATTATATATCATTCTTTATCAAAGTCCCTAAAATTTGGAAAGTTTTGGTGAAATCGGCTCAAATTTGGATAGAGCTACCGTATATATTATCTCACGATTTTTAGTAAATGATGCACCAAGATCTTAAAATGTTTCTGATATGCACAAAACATACTGAAATTAGTATAACATAACCTGGGACAAGTTCCGATGAAATCGGTTTAGATTTTGATATAGCTTTCCGTCCGATTTTAAATTAAGTAATTTAGTATATGTTGCAAAGTATAGTATAGGTTGCAGAATGACATGTTTATGGATCCAATTTCATTTTACTGGTCCTTCAAAAATGCGACAACTCTTAGGATTCATCGGTTGAATATACCCAAAGTGGTGAAGGGTATCATATAGTCGGCCCCGTCCGACTTTACTACTTTCCTTACTGGTTTTGTTTTTGGTTCAATCAATAGACTACAATTATAAGCCGAACATCACAACATAACCCACGGTAAAGGGAATATGGACAAGTAGTTAGAAGGGCTGTACTGAATATTGGTAATATTCGGAAAATGTGTCAGCGTAAGGAAGGCCTCTAATATTACCCAGGGTAGGGTAGGTAACGTATGGTCGGCCGCGTCCGACTATACTGCTTCGCTCAGTGGTTTTCAATTAAATATGTAGGCGTGTATGCTTTAAATAATTTTTTTCGTGGACTACCATAGGCGTAAATATTTTTTTCAGGGATTACCATAGGCATAGAGGTTTAAATTGTTTTCTTCCACACCTAAATCAAGTTGGAAGATTGTCGACTTATTGCTAAAAATTAATTTATTATATAATGCGAACGAATTTCAATTAAAATTGGCACAACCTAATATTTTAACCCTGCCTATATAATGTTGTGAGATGGGACTTATCCTTCTGGTACCTCCCCTACAAAGGATCAACATTTAACCAACCCGTAAATTTAATTTTAAGCTAGTTGAATAACCGATATTTGAGATGTCCAATCTTTTCCAAGAAATATTTCTAGGTAGCCCCCATATAACGGGACGTCTACTGTAAAATTTTAAATTCGAACGTCGTTTTCACAGCTTAAGATATTTTTTTCAAAGCTCCAAAGAAAAATTAGTTTTCCAAGAAGCATTCTCAAAAAATATATTTTCAAATTATTACTCAGAAAATTAAATTTGTATAAAAATACAAAAAAATAATCAACCTTCAATTGAAAAACCTGTTTTTAACAGAAAAAATATATTAGTCATGCGGAAATTATGACTAAACCCCAAATTAATAATACGTTTTTTTCGTTTGTTTTGTTTTCGGTTCAGTTTTTGTAATCGAATTTATATCGTATTACATATAAGTATATGAATATACACACATGTCAGTTGTGTGTGTGTGTATGACCATCCCATTTCGTTTTAAACAATTAGATTACGAATTTTTTTTTTGAAATTGAATATTAATTTCATTCAAATGAAAAAAAACACACTTATAATAGAAAACAAAATCTGAGAACACGTGCATTATTGAACTCAAACTATAGATGGTAATAATCCGCTATAATACGGTATATAATTTGTGGGTCTATTTGTGTATTGGGTACCCTGACAAATTTTACCTTAGACGGTCCACAAATAAATTTATTTCCTATGAATATGCATATTTTCTACATTGAGTCATACCTAAAATTATTCAATGGAGATTTATTTGAATCCCTGTCTCTAGCTATTCCTTAACAGTGGTGTTACAAACCAAAATCGTAAATCTCAAAACCATATAAAGTTTAATTGAATTCTAATTAAGAAGAGCTTTTCAGAGCAAAATGATGATAATAACAACAAATAAATGTGACAACTATCGGCTAAAGCAGCACTAGCAGTACCACAACAACAACAATGACAATATATGAAAAAATGAAATTCTTAAGGCGGCAGTTTTCTAAATTCTAGTAAAATAAACCAGAAACTTGTTGAATAATAATGAACGAAAACAAAAAAAATTGATTTTAAACAACTTTTGTATCACTACTGCTATCACTCTCACACACACATGAACACACAAAACTATGTAAATTTTTTACTGTCAATAAATTTATTGGGCTGTACAATAATGTGGGAATAATCCATGACAGTGACCACAAAAAATTCCTAGAATTAGGGAACACATTTTATTCAACGCCTTTTAAAACACAAAATTGATTTTTTTAGTTTTTCAAATAATGTTCACATTGCTTTTAGACCCACCCTAATGTTGAATTTCATCATATATGTTTGCTAATTTTTTACAAATAGTAGAATTTAATACCAAAACCGAACTTCGGAATATTAACAATAACAAAAACAATTGACAAAATAAAGCAACAACGGACAAAAAAACTGAATTTACGCGACTTGAAATTACAACAAGTTTTCGTTCAATTTGCTGCTGTTTTGTAAATGTTATTTTTGTTGTTGTTGCTTCTGGTGCTGGTGGTTGTTTGTGTTGCTGTTATTCTGTATTTTACCTTGAATAAATCTCGTTTAATTATATTTGAACCGACACTATTTGAAATTTATTAGCATTAAAAATGCAAAAGTATCTTTATTTTCCTCGAGCAGCAACAGCGGTATCGGCAGCAGCAACAACAACAACAGCCACAATTGCAACGAAAGCTATATACCACTCATAGTCGATAGTTTTCTTTGTTATTTTCAGCTGCCTCTCAAACTAATAAAATGCAATCATTAATTTTTATTTATTTAAACATTTTCTATCAAATTCTCATAAAAATTGTCATTGTCAAATGGGTATTGTTATTGTATTTATTGACAATTATTGATTTTTTAATAAGCATATTCTTTATTTCCCACATCGAAACACTCACAGTTATTTCCATTGAATTTTTCCAATATTTTTTTGTATTTTCAGATCTCATAATTTTTTGATTATTCATCTCATTTTGGAAAGAGCGTCAACAGTACAGAAAAGCCATTGTTTTCCATAGCTTATTCTAAAAGAGCCGAGTCATTTATTGCTTTGTTATTTGTGGGCTAGTCCGACATTAAATGCAAGATCATGGCCGAATGTTCATATGCCCGTTGCATACAGGAGCGCCGCTTAATTAAGCGTGAACTAATGAAACATTCCAAGGATATGTTACATATTGTTGGTAAGTGACCACTCAATTTTTTTCTTAAGAAAGAATATACATAGTTATGTATTTGATTTTTTTATTATTATTTGACCTTAAATACAATATAGTGACCTTAAATACAAATTCTGTTTCTGGGAAAAACTAAATACCAAACTACAGACCCTCAGGAAAATTGGGAGCGTACCGAAATCGTAAAAATACATAAAATAAGTTTAAACAATGTTATGTTCGGTCCGCCCAAACTTTTTACACCCTTCCTAGGAGAAAACTAATGTTACGATATGACCTTGAATATTCCGAAAAAGACGTCAGAAAACTATGATTACCTAATAAGGCCGCTAGCGTTTCATGGGGCTATACAAAAACGGGATTGAATATTGGAAATTGACAGACAATGAGAATACATAAAATACAAAACACCGACTTTGGTAAATATTATTCATTTTTAGTACAGAGATGTGGGGGTTCCGTTATATGAGAGCTACCTTCAACTTGGTTCAATATTAATAATTTTTAGTACAAGGATGTCCTATACACTGAGAACCCAAAACATACAATAAAAGTCATTAAATTGAAAAACTTGTCCAAAATTCAAAAAATACCAAATATTGGGGGCAACGTTTTATAGGAACTATCCCACATACCAAAATACTAAATTACAGCCAATTTGGTTGAAAATGTGTCCAAAATCCCCAAAAAAAAACGAATATTTGGGGTACCGTTTTATGGAGGCTACACCGAAACGTAGACCGATATATCCCATTTACTACACCAAACATCCTAGCAGTACTTGCAATGTCTATAATCATTGCGATCTCTATCGTATTTTCAACAGACGGACAGACAGACGGTCACACACAAATCGACATCGAATTATATTCTGTTGAAGAATATATACTTTATGGGGTCACCGAGGTGTTCCAAATGGAATGACAAATTTAATATACGGTTTGGTTCGGTAAAATATTACGATGTGCAAACATAGGGTTAAATAATTTTTAATTCACTTCAAGTTAATGACACAAAAGTATACATTTTGTTGTTCGGAATTAATCTAGGTTTGGTAAAAATATTACAATTCGCTTGATATGGGATTAAGGAATGTAGTAAAGTCGGACTGTGCCAACTATATGATACCCTTCACCACTATGGCTATATTGTACATATGTATCCTTACAATTGCAGGTCAATTTTCCCTATGTCGAATGAAAATATCTAAGGGAGCTAAATCTGAACCGATTTTCATAAATCTTAACATTTATCGTACTAGACTTAATTCAGTACGCTATGCCAAATTTCGTGCAAATCGAAAGTTATATAGGAACTATGGTGCACCATTTACATAAAATCGGACGAAAATATATATGGGAGCTATATCGAAATCTAAACCGATTTTCCCGAAACTTACCACTCATCATTCTGGACTCAATTTCGTACGCTATGCCAAATTTCGTGCAAATCGAAGGATACCAAGAGACTTTGGTGCACTATTTACCTAAAATCGGTAGAAAATATATATTGGAGTTATATCTAAATCTGAACCGATTTTCATGAAATTTAACACACATAATTCTAGACATAATTTAGTACGCTACGCCAAATTTCGTGCAAATCGAAAGATATATAGGTACTTTGGTGCACCATTTACCTTAAATCAGACGAAAAAATATATGGGTGCTATATCTAAATCTGATCACTATAAAATTTCAAGTGAAAAATTCAACAACTCTTGAAGATATAGACGTTTTAGTTTTCCTCAACAATTTTTTTTAAATTTGACACTTTGTGGGGGAAAATACCAGAAGTAAACCGACAAGTCCCAATTTTCAACAAAATCTATGTGAATTAAACGTACGATGAAGTTTCAGTGAAATCGTATATAAAGTCCGCTTCATATGAAATTTACAAGTTTTCAAAATTGTATACCTTTGTCGGAGAGGTGCTGGAAGGAGTTGTCCGATAAGTCCTATCTTCTAACATTATACTAGCATGGTAATAATATTAGATTGTGTAAAATTTGGATCAAATAGTGTAGTACGTTCGCATGATATTATAAAATTAATTGTCAGCAAAATTTCGACCATTTTTTGGGCAAGGACCAAAAGGAGTAGACCGGTATTTCGCATCTTCGAACTTGAGTTATGTTTGGAAGAAATATTACGATGTGCAAAGTTTGGATGAAATCGATTACCCCCTTTGAGAGTTGTGGTGCGTACCAACCGGCCAAACATACAGTCGGATGGACATTTGTAAATCGACTCCAAATGATCTGAAACGGATTTGGTCCAATGAAAACAATATTTCGATGAGGCATATTTTTGCTGAGGATATAAAAGTACCTACCTACCTACCTCAATATTGATTGATAGATTTGCTAGCATGAGAATCCAAAATATCACTTATAACCAATTGTACTGAAAAATACCAAATATTTTGGAAGTACCCTTATATGGGCATATTAATACACCAAGATATTAGGTGTATTAATATGATCTATATTAATATGCTCTATATTTTCGATCGATTTAAGGAAATTGAAATATACACCACATGATGGAGGTTGCTATAGTTTTGTCCATGAAGAACTTAACTAATATTTTAGTTGTTTAAAAATGGACCCAATTCTGTAGTTTGTAGGTGTCAATAGTAAACGATCCAAATTAGTAAATTCCACGGGGTTCTCAAGAATTGGATCATTTCGAGAAAATATTATGGTCAATTTGACGTATGAATCTTGGTTTACCCATTATATAAGATAAAAAGAAAGCTTGTTCATAACATTATATGCGTATTCATAACAATATCAAAGAACTGTGGAAGACTTAAAAGCATTGCTAGACTGTTTACGTTCTTCAGTAGAGATCGTGACTATTCAGCAATAATACTATTCAGATCTTTTTGATTGGCACATTGATCTGTAACTGTACCGTATAGTTTTACTTTCCTCCTTTTCTATATTGAGGATATTAATTTTCTTCACCTCGTACCATTGGTCACTATGTTGCTCTCTACAAATAGGAGGTCATGGAACAAGCCTACCCAGTCAAAATAGATTTGCAACCAAGTGTTCCCGACAAGCGACTAAAAATTCTTGTTCGCAGTTTTTAATTTACCGAAGAAAAGTATGCCTTACGTGAACGAATATTTGGGTTTAGGGTTTAAGAACATCTTATTCCAGGCTTGTTCTCACATCGCAAAGGGATAATTTTCGCAAAATGAAGAGCAGAATCACTGAAACTGAGGTATTTTTGAAGTAAGTAACAAATGTTACTACAACAATGCCGCCATGGACTTATGTTGAAAATGTTCTATCAATAAGCTGTTTACTTCGAAATGCTAAAATATAGTCGCTGTCTTTGGAAAATGTGCCTAGTACCATCAAAATATCTAAAATGAGGCATTGTATAGGCCTATACTCAAAGATCAGAACCAACTCAAATATTGAATTAGACCCAACTCTGTGTGAAATCATATCATAAAATAAGTCTTATGTTCGGTATACCGATATAGTTAATTTTTGATAGGAAATATTTGCTACGCAAAGATAACAATGAAATCTCAAAATACTGAAAATGTGGGTATCGTTACATGAAAGAAAATACAATATTCCTGTCTATTTTTCATGTTTCGGAAAAATATGAACAAATTTAACTTTAATTGACAACTCCGTTTGGAATACGGAAGAAAGTTCTCAGAAGTGATGTTATGACCAGTTGAATTATGACCAGTAGGCCTATACTGTAACTTTTAAGGAAGTTCGGTGTTCAGAAGTAAAGAAATGTTGGTAGACTTATTGGCATTTCTTATTTTATTTTTGAAATTAGCAAATAAATGCGCAACACTTTTAATCCCCTGTACCACAGTGTGATATAGGATTTTTGCCCAACACAATTTTTATATTGTTTTTATTGAATTAAAAATAGTTATTTATTTTACAACCACTTCGTAAAACATAAGTTAATTTATTACAATACCACACAGCCTTCCAGCATTCTATCTTAAATTCATTATAACATTTGTATCTCTTTTTTGCAATATCATGCCACCTTTTGCTATAGACAAGTACCATATGGTTTTTATAACAACTTCAGGACACTACAACTTCAGTTTTATATTTTCTCTCCTTTATATTTCATGCAATTTTTTCTGCTCGTTCTTCTTGCACCAAATACCATCATCCTGGCATTAACTGAATATTTTTTATTCGTTTAATTTCCGCCTACAAAATCGTTGCTCGTGAAAAAAAATCTTTTTTTTTTCTAGTGATGGTATGGGTGCAACTTTTTGCAAACATTAGAGAGAGAAAAACATTTAGTACATAATGTTTTGTTTTTTTTCGTTTATATACCTAAAGTGACCATATTCTGGGATCTTCCTTTTAACATTTTGTTATTTCCTTTTTATGGACCATTCATGATTATCCAGACTGGCTCTCATTTACTCAGTAGTGGGAGAGGTAAAAGTGATTTTTTTATTTCTTGCTTATATCAACAAGTCGTCGAATAATTGCCACTATCCCGGATGAACTACTGACAACGCCTAATTTTTGTTGATATTTTTTAGATTTATTTTTAGTGATTGCTAAAAGGGTTATGGATTCTATAAATTATTGGATTTATATATTTTAACATTAGAACTCGAACCATCTACGAATCCGAAATGTCAATGTTAGTCAATAAAAGTCAGAAGTTGTGATAATAATAATCAGGTGGTAGTATTAAAGGATCAATCCGGTGAGTTTTAGTAATCATTGAATGTATATTAGTAGTCATTGAATGTATATTAAATCTGTCAACACGTCGAAATATTGGTCGGGATCCCATTCTTGATCTTTTTATACCCTCCACCATAAGCTGGAGTGCATATTAAAATTCTCATTCCGTTTGCAACGCATCCAAATATTGAAGGTGTGAAATCTTCTTACTAAACATGATCAAAATTGGTTCACTTTTTTTGGGAATCCCGCGTGGTGGAGGGTATTAAAAGTTCGGCCCGGCCAAATTTAACGCCTTTTT